GAGCCAGGGCTACAGTCCTACCGACAGAGCCAGGGCTACAGTCCTACAGCTGTCAGTAATTGGAATTACTCTTTATGTTTGTATTTTGTTATGTGCTCATACGTTTGAAATATTTCCTGGAGATGGAGGAATATTCATTTCTGTTCTTCTCTAAAACAATAGTGTTCTGCAGATTTTCTGTGACGATTCCAAATGATCTGCTGACTGCTGTGCCTGGAGTCCTGCAGCACTTCGAGAATAACACTGGCTACTGTCATAGTTTCCCCAGAATTATAGGATTTTATAATTGTAGTTATGGTGTGTGTGTGTGTGTGTGTGTGTGTGTAGGATCTTATTATGTAGTTCCGGCTGGCCTGGAACTCAAATCTTTCCTCTGCCTTCCAAGTGCTGGGATTGCAGGTGTGTACTCTCCAACATTCTCTGGATTTTAAAACTTAATCCTTAATTTATCTTGGAAACCAAGTTAATTCTTCCTCAAGAGAGCTAGCTTTGTCTGGCTTAACCGTGCACAGACACCTCTGAAATAAGAGAGCTCAAATACAAGGAAGCCTTAGTATTCATGTTTAGTTTTTTTTTTTTATTATGGTGGTATCATTTACTTTGGTAAATTCATAATCTGATTTTAAAATGCCTCAAAGCAAACAAAACTTGTTTACAAATTCAAGTACTGCATGTTACACACATAATAGCCCCACAGTGGACCTTCTCTAGCAGGTTGTCATTTACAAGGTCCAGTTCTAACACTGCAGTAGATTGCACTAAATGTATCGCTTTATCGTAATCTTGTTGCATAATGCAGTAACCAGTACAATGGCTTATATGATTGCAGTCAAAGCTTTAATAAAGTCAGAGCATTTAATGATGAATACCCCTCTTTTTTTCCTGAGGTCCAAACCCAGTGTCCCCTGTGTGCTAGGTGAAGCTCTGCCACCCTGCCATACCCTCAGCCTGAAAGAAATATTTTATGTATAGGATGCAATTTCAGGTCAGATGCTTATTCAAGAATAAGTGCTTAACATACTGTTGTTATCTTGACAAACATTATTCCTTTTTACTAACTAGAGTGAGTCAGGCTGAAAGCAACTGAGAGTAATGAAAAAGGCAGATGTTAAACTCCTGGATTATACTAAACGTTAATTAACGTAAGCTCCTTGTGGCTAAAGTGTATTTACTAGTCAACATATATGTGCATATATCCACATGTGGAGAGAGGGAGGGGGAGAGGGGCTCTGCAGGCTCCACTGAAGTGCTAGTATAGCTGTAGCCCTTATATGATACTTCAGCTGCAAACAAAGAACAGTGACAGATGGTTTGTACTCCCTTTTTGTTGTTGTTTAGAAAAAAAAAAGCCTATAAATCTCTTATCTCGTAAAACAAGCATTTATTATTTAAGGTCTCAAAGTATATATACCTGCATTAAACAAATTTGTTGGTGTTGTTGTTTTTTAACTTTGTAGCGGGGCTAGAGAGATGGCTCAGAGGTTAAGAGCACTGGCTGCTCTTCCAGAGGCCCTGAGTTCATTTCCCAGCAACCACATGGTGGCTCACAACCATCTGTAATGAGTTCTGGTGCCCTCTTCTGGTGTGCAGGAATACACATATAGTAAATAAATAATTTAAAAAACCCCCAAACAAACAAACAAACAAACAAACAAAACCTTTGCAACAATTCTTCACTTATTCACAAATATATTTTACATCTCTATTTATTATAATTTGAACAATTTAAGAACAAGTTCTGCAGACACTCTTAGCTGAGATAGCAATACTATGCTCTAGTTCACAGAAATGACTGCAAGGACTATTTCTCCAAGTTCATAGAATCTCTCCTCTAAGGCCCACAGCAAACACTACTCACACTTCATTTTACAGCTGGAAGAGCAGATGGTGAGCAGCTGGGTAACTCTCCTAGTAACTGGAGTCAACCACCTTTTCAATGTGCTTTAAAAGGTTTTGTACAGCTGGAGTGTGTGTGTGTGTGTGTGTGTGTGTGTGTGTATGTGTGTGTGTATGTGTGTATACATCCTTTATTTTTCAACAAACTGACTTTCTGATACTGATTTTAAAAAAGCTTTAAGATATAGAGTAACCCAATTTTATTAATTGTCAGAATAGCCTTGGGGTATGCTCTATGCTTCATTCAGAACTGCTCATGGATGGAACACTTTGTAATTCCCAGGGTTCAAATGATTGCCTCAAAAGGAAAAGTCCTAAGTGAATGTCGAGTCCCCTCCTTAAACATTTGTTCCTAACTGCTGCCTTTTTAGAAGTAGAACATTCTAGGTTCAGCTGGTCCTGGAACCATGGAGAGTAATTCACTGTAATTCTTCAGTTTTCAAACAAACTATTCTATTTTCCTTAGGATGTTCAACCTTTGAGGAAAATTACAGACTAATTCTTAAAGTCTCTGATAAAGCTTGTCAGAATAAAGACTATTTAGATGATAGATAAAACAGAATCCACTCTGGATTTCTGTTTTATTTTTAAGCAACCCCTCTCAAAAAAAAAAAAATGTGCTCATCTTTGGAGTCCTAGCAACATCATCTCTTCCTTATGTGTTCTCTGAGGAGAGCCACAGCCCACAGCATCTTAACACTTTCCATACATATAAAATATTTTACATTCGGGACTGACGGTCTGTATGGCTTACGTAGGTCCATTCGAGTGCCCTTGGTAAACACGATCTCTGGGTTAGTCGGTTGCTGGTGGGGGTTTGATGGAAGGAATACTACAGGATCTTCTCATGATAAGCCTGACTTCGATATCCGGCAGATCTTGTCTACTTTCTAAACAGCCCTCATCGGTGGCTGCTAAGTGCAGATCAAACCGGAGAGAAACAGACTTTTTCCTCAGCCGAGGGTTATCTTTAAAGAATGAACCTTCCCATTCTTTTATAACTTCATCCACTTTCTCTGTTCTGAAATGAGAAAATAAACTTTTTTTATATAGAAGAAGAAATTGACACAATGTATAGTTCATATACATGAAAGTTCATATTCATATTCAATGTATAGTTCATATACATTGAATAATATATAATGTATATTATATATTGTATATAATGTATAGGTTGTAGGATTTTAACTATTTAGATTATTTCATGTGTGTTTTGTCTGCATGTATGTATGTGTACCACTTGCATGCCTGGTGCCCACAGAGGTTAAAAGAAGGCATCAGTTTCCCTGAACCTGGAGTAGTGAGTGATTGAGAATGGGCACATGCTTTTTACCTCTGAGCCATCTCTCCACCCGCCCCAGTTGTGGAATTTCTAATTGACACAGGTTTAACTACCATAAGAATATATTTTTTAATATAGAGTTATGTGAAATTTCTACATTTTTTAGTTAAAAAGTCTTTCTTTCTTTCCTTCTTTCTCTCTTTCTCTCTTTCTTTCTTCCTTTCTTTCTTTTTTTTTTTGGCAGTCTCTTAATATAGTTCTGCCTATTCTAGAACTCACTATGTAGACCAAGCAGGCCTTAAACTCACCTAGATCCTCCTGCCTCTGCCTCCTGAGTGCTGGGATTCTACACAATTCTTATGCTCCAATTTTAGTTTTAGAAAAAAAAAAGTGAATTTTTACACACTCTTCTTTGTGTTGCTATGTGTGTATTCATGTCTGCCTGAGAAATCACAGTGTATTGGCAGTGTTTGAAATATTTGAAAAGGACCACTAAGACTGCTCAGTGGAGGTGACTTTTCTCAGGCCTGGTACTATTCCAGAGTCAAGCAGGTTTACTTACTGAATGGTGCCGTGGGCCCCAGCGTTCTCCTTTGCCATGTTTCCATTCACTACTGCCTGTTTCATCACTGACTCCATAGTTTCATTTTCATACTTTTGGGAGACTTTTGTTGAAAAAGATATTTCATTTATAATGGCTGTGGAAATGTTACATTAAGTTACAATGTTGAAAAAGAGAAGGAAAATAAAGTGCATTTCAGTGTGGAGGGGACGGAGTCACAACATGGAAGAACTGAACATTTCTCTTTTTGCTGCATTGGAGAAATTTCTGTATTATCTCCACCAATAATACATCTAGTTTCAAATTAGGTTATCATGTCAGAAACTCACCTGAGGGGAGAAGAAAGCCAACTTTACTCTTGGTAGGCTTTTCTTTTTTCTCTCCTTGGATACACCCATAATATCTGAAATGGAAAGAGTCATAGAAACAACACTGCGGTAGCAAAAAATAAAATAAAACAAACAAAAGGAAACAGACAAGAGAATGGTAAGTTGTCATGTCACACACTGGGAACACTATTCAGCATTCACAGTGATGAGCCAGGCCATGCTGCATCTCAGTGAATCGCCCAGACACAAGGAAGCGTGAAGGGAAACTAGGAGCTAGTTTTATAAGGGCTAAAATAATACACAGACCAATTTTCTACATTGTATACAGATGTATCTGTATTACCAAAGAGCTGGATGAGACTAGTAAATATCAAATTCTGAGCCAGCTTCCGAGTGGGGAATGTAGAGAGTGGGGGAGGGGATGGGGGATGGGGATTAGATGCCCAGAAAATACAACTTCAGAAACATGTTACTTCTTAGACTGGAGGAACTAGGAGAAGCTTGTTAACAGGTCAAAGGCCATAGGGATACAATGTATAATATCTAATCACATTGCTCATTAGATTTTCTGGGTTTTGTATAATAACATTGTTTATTTGTATTTTCCTGTATTTATATCTCAAACATAATAGTACAAATGTGGAAAATTATAAAATATTAAAAGCCAATTTGTCAAAATCTTGAATGCTTAGAAGTTAACATCTACCATCATTATTTAATAACCTATTACATACTATCATATAACAAATCGTGTAGTTTTTACACAGCACCATGCGCTCGCTAGTGCTTTGAGCCCTTCATAATGGTGACTCATTAAGTCCTCCCGACAGTATCGTGATGTAGGCAATAGCATTCCTATTTTGTTGAGAAAACAGAAGCACAGTGAAGCTAAGTAACTTGTCCAAGGTCATTCAGCTAGCAAGTGGTATATTTTGAATTCCATTTATGATTTTTAAAGATTTCATAAGCTAACCCTATTCCATCTGGTGTTGCAGAAGATTCAGGATTCTGAAACAATCAAGAACAAAGATTTATTTTTATGGGAATATAGAAACTTGGAGGTGATGCCATTGTTTAAAGGTCTAAGACCTTATAAATATTGTAAAATAAAATATTGAATAAACAAAGAGTTCCCCATTAGTTCCCTTTTCTCTCAGGATTGTTTAAAGCCTTAAAATTGTGACTCCAGCCAGTATTGTTTATCATGCTTGTGTAATAGGATCAGTTGTGTATTATTTTCACTTTTTGAGAGAAGGTTTCCTGTAGCCCAGGCTAGCTTCCAACCTGATATGGAGCTGAGGATGACCTTCACCTCCCAAGCGCTGGGATTACAGGGATGCACATCTGGATTATGTGATGCTGGGGAACAAACTCAGTGCAAACTCGGGGTTTCATGCATGCTGGCAAGCCCTGTTCTGGCTGAGCCCCATGCCCAAACTTTATTATTATTATTTGTGTGTTTACTGGGGGGCTAAGGGGGGGGCAGGTGGGCAGGGTTGTGACGATAATGTGTGAGTCTCCAAACTTCCTTGGGGTGATCTATTAAAGGCAAAGACTAGTCCTAAAAGGGTGAAACAGTGGAGAAAGTGGGAAGACTGACAAAAGCCACCTTAGTGACCAAGGAGTGTAATAGCCAACTCTGGTTATTAACATGTCATGTTTAGCAGTAGGCACAGTTCTTCATGCTCTCCGGAGGAGGCACTCAGCCTGCGTCACTACAGGAGCCCAGTGAACAGGCTGTGGTGGTGGTGGTGGTGGTGGTGGGCTTTATTTTGGATTTGGTTTCTCTGATGGCAACACCAATAGCTCTGTGCATCTGACCCCGAGCCACCCGTGCCATTAGTGACAAGGATTTAGGTACCTGATCTCTTCCTGTTCTAGCAGGCGGCGGTACGTGGCTATTTCCTGCTCCAGCCTCATCTTCGTGTTGAGAAGCATCTCATGTTCTTGAAGCTGCCTCTCGATGCCACGCCTCACTTCCTGCAGCTCCTTCTCTAGTCTGCCAATCACCGACTCCAGATCTTGCAGCTGCATCTGGTAGTGCTGCTCACTGGCTTGCAGGGAGTTTTCAAGGCCCCTTTCCTGTTGACAGACATCCTCAGCAGTGAACCAGCAATAAGACAAGAGCTTCTGAAGTCTCATTTGCAATGTTTTCATAGTCTACTTACTTACTACCCATTTAATTATTTGGTTTTATGGCATAAAAGCCAGGTCCTAGAACAGGATAGCCACCGAGTCACACCTGTAGCTCTACCTTTTTTGTTTGTTTGTTTTGTTTTAATTTAAAGGTTATAATAATTGTGCTTCAGTTATTCAAGAGGACTTTTTGTGCTAGTTGATTTCTTTTTCTTACATTTCTTTACTTGTGTCTGTGAATGTGTATGTGTACATAAACACATGCCGCAGCACACATCTGGAAATCAGGCTGCAGCTTTCAGGAATTGATTCTCTCATTCCACCACGTGGGTTTGGGAGGTCAAACTCAGGGTGCCAAGGCTCTGTGGCAAGCATCTTTACCTGCTGAGCCATCTTGCTGTCCCCCCTTTTGCTGTTTGAGACAAGGTCTCATGGTGTATTTAGCCCAGGCTGGTCCTGAACTTGGAGTTATGGCTATGTGTAACCTGGCCTAATTCATTCTTTACTTTAAACTGACCTTGAACTAAGGGCAATCCTTCTTCCTCAGCCTCTCAAATGTTAGGTTATAGACATGAGCCACCGTGCCTGACTTCCATCTTTTTTCTTTTTTCTTCTCTCTCTCTCTCTCTCTCTCTCTCTCTCTCTTTCTTTCTTTTTTTTTTTTTGAGGAAATTGTATTTAGTGATTGAGCATAATGGCACTTACCTGTAATGACAACTATTCAGGAAACAGGCAGGAAGATCACCAGTTCAAGGCTCTATTGGGCAACTTTGTGAGAGTAGTCACCCACATTGAGGGGTAGGGGCTAAGGGCACAGCTTCATAGTAAAGCACTTGTTTAGCACGTACAAGGCCCTGGATTCACTCTCTAGGATTGGATTTTTTGTTGTTTTTTGTTTTTATTTTTTTGTTGTTGTTTTTCGAGACAGAGTTTCTCTGTATAGCCTTGGCTGTCCTGGAACTCACTCTGTAGACCAGGCTCAAACTCAGAAATCCACCTGCCTCTGCCTCCCAAGTGCTGGGATTAAAGGCGTGGACCACCACTGCTCAGCTGGATATTTTTTAAAAAACATACATAACTAGATAGCTTTCTATATTTCAAAATAATCTTGTAATCATTCTATTGGCAAGAGAAGAGAAGTCCTTTACACTGGGATTAACTTACTGTTATTCTGAATTATTTTATTTTTTAAAAATATTGAAAAGAAAATGAATGTCAAAGGTGAAACCAACTCTTAAGGGCCCATGATTTGGCTCTCTGGACAAAGAGATTGTTACTAAGCCTAACAGTCTGAGTTCAAGCCCCTGGTTCCACATGGTGGAAGGAGAGAACTGGCTCACAAAAGTCCTCCTTTGACTTCCACATGTGCACACTAAATGAACAAACAAACAAACAAACAAACAAACGAACAAATAAATGTAATTTCATAAAGCCATGTTAGGAAAGTGCTTAACCATCTTCCCATTAGAAATCTCAATGACACGATGCATGAAGCCAGTGGTTAGTAGACTATAGATGATAATAACAACACACAATCCACTTTCTCATAACAACAGTCAGGGAGCCCCAGACCCACAAGCAAGTACAACTGAATTTCTCTCCGTATAAACTGAACCCAGAGTGAGCTGATTACAGCCAGTGGCTGGGAAAGAGGGAGGATCCGAGCTTGAAGTCAGCGGCCTCCACCATAAAGTTCTGGTGTCTCTTTCTCTGTGTTGTACACACTGGGCAGGTACTCTGCCAGCAAGCTACAAGCTTGGAAATGTCCAAGCCCCTCCTCTCTCTAAAAAGCATAGGCTCTGAGGTGCAAGAAGCCAGTTGCCTTGGGATCGTCCTTACCACAGCGTGGAGAGACTCGATTTCCGCTTGCAGGTGGTGGCACTGCCGGCGGGCCTCCTTGAGTTCAGCCTGAGCTGCCTTCAGCGCTTCTCCGTCCTTGTCCATTTTTTTGGTTATGTCTTCCTCTAGCTGTAAGAAAGCCAACAATAACAACAGCGAACAACAACAAAAAACCCAAAACAAAACAAACAAAAAAACCCCAACAACCCCCTACCCCCCAAAAAAACAAACCAAAGGGCACTCTTGAAAGGGAGGTGTTCAAAAGCAATCATAGAAAATTCTATAGGAATCAAATAACCTTTTCTACTTGTATTAGATTACAAGTGTGCATTCTGGGCTGGAGAGATGGCTCAGTGGTTAAGAGCATTGACTGCTCTTCCAGAGGTCCTGAGTTCAATTCCCAGCAACCACATGGTGGCTCACAGGTGTGTGTTCTGGTGCTTCATTACTAATCTGTCAAATGCTGAGCTAGTCCATTATGCTTTTAGCCCCAATCTTCTCTGCTCTAAAATGATCTCAAAAGTTTCTTCCAACTGTGAAATACAGAAAAAAAAACCCCCACATCTGTTTTAACAAACATTTTTGAGACAAATTCGTGACCTCTGACCCTTTCACTTTTTTGAATATGTTAATAAGAAAGATCGTTTGAAATTTAGTGATTATTTCCCCACATGTTTTGTAGGCTGCTTCATAGAAGCAGACGCACATCAATTCTTGATGTGTGGACTAGGAGCAGACACTGCTAAAAGCATCACTAGACTAATAAACTGGAAACTTAGTCGTAGGCATCAGTGTTCTTAAATGAAGTTCTGTGTTACAGAAACCCTTTTACTTTTTTCAAGATGATATTTTTAGAAGGGATCTTCAGTTTGGATATTTGGGGTAATAACAACGATCGTGCGTGTGTGTGTGTTCATTTATGAAGGTGTGTGTCCATGTAGGTGTATGTTTGTGTGTATGTATAGTCTACGTATATTATATGTTGGCCTCAGGCATAGTTTTTCTTTTTAATTTTGAGACACGGTCTCTCACTGGGACCCATGCTGGCTACAATGGCTGGCCAGTGAGGCCAAGGGCTCTACGTGCCTGTCTCCAGCCCTCACTGCTGGGATCAGTGTTCACCACCACGTATCACTTTTACATGTAGCTCAGCAGATCAAAATCAGGGCCTCATACTATCCTCCAAGTCCCCCAGAATACATCTTGGTGATCATTTTTAACTGTTCTCCTATCATAACAACAATTAGGGGAAGACTCATAGCTCAGTGGTAGAACACCTGGCTAGCAAGTGCTGGGGGGAAAATGGGGTATTTTCTATTTTGCTTTAAATGTTTTCATTCTGTTGGAATTAAAAAGAAAACACCTGTTGTTAACTGCATTGCCAGCACCGATCTCATCAGGATCCATGTGTTGAGTTGAAGTATGAAAAAAAAATGGCAACTTTTTATGTTCTTTTAAATATGCAAATTTGATTTTATGGTAGATTTTGCTTAAAGGAAGCCAGAGTCAATAAAAAGTCTGTGAATAAAGTTTAGGGCAAGATATTAGAGAAAAGGGGAGTTGGCTCAGTAACTAAGTGCTTGTCATGCACGATTACAGACAGCAGATCTTCAGAACACATGCAAATGCTAGGTAGATATGGAAACCTGTAATTTCAGCCTGGGAAGGTGGGATAGGAAATCTCAATTCTACATATCAGTGCGCTCTGGGTTCGATTAAGAGACCTTACCTCAACTAACAGTGGAAGATCAATGGAGGCTAATTCTTGAGGTCAGCCCTGGTTCCCTATTAGCATATAGACCAACACACATATGAATCTCATACATGTCACCCATATTCATGCAAACATGCACACACACACACACACACACACACACCCTTCCTCTGAAAAAATGAAAAAAGAAAGATGCTAGAGGGAACTTTTTTTCCCTTTCTTTCGTCAGCTCTTTCGTCAGCTCAGTCTTAGTGTTAACTTGGCAAAGTCAAGCAACCACCATCTACAGGAGCAACTCCAAAACACAATATACAGTGGTAATAAAATCTTGGAAACAAGATATGGTTCCGGGGACCACTGATCTTTTTTTTTTTTTTTTTTTTTTTGGTTTTTTGAGACAGGGTTTCTCTGTGTAGTCCTGGCTGTCCTGGAACTCACTCTGTAGACTAGGCTGGCCTCGAACTCAGAAATCCACCTGCCTCTGCTTCCCAAGTGCCGGGATTAAAGGCGTGCGTCACCGCCGCCCAGCTGACCACTGATCTTTTAAATTCCCATTGGGGAACTGGCAGATAAACTGTGTGTTAGTTAGATTCCCAAGATGGTCCCTAGTGAGCCATGCCTCTCTCAAGTTCATGTCCTGTGATTCAACCTCTTCAGGTCTTGCTGTGACCAGTTGGCTATGGAAGAGGCCATACTGTACCAATTCTAGGCTGGGCCATAAGAAGCCTGTCAGCATTCACATAATGCTTGTGGGAGCCCCAAGTCAGAAATCTGGATACCTGGTTAGAGAGGTCATGTAGGGAGACTAGGTGGACAGGGACCCATGACCACATGCAGAGGGCAGGCAACAGGCTCAAGGATCTCAAGCTAGTCTTCCAGCAAGCTCTTGCCAAGGTCCCAAACATATTAGTCAGTCACTTTGATTATGCCGGTCAGTAGGGCATCCTCCAGCATCTCATCCTGTGTAGCACCAGAGTCCCCAAGCCCCAGCTTCCTCATCCCACAGAATTACACGACAGGATACAGTGGTCTAAATGTTAGCTTGTTGGGTTTTGGGGGGTGACTTACGGTGGCAGTATTTGCTAGCCAAAGCAACTGTATGTTTATTTTCCTTATTGACTTGCGTGGGTCTAGGGCTTGAACCCAGGGCTTTGTGGTAATAAAATAAACCGACTTTGTGAGTTATTTGGGAAAATACATTTCTCTGAAGAACTTTTACGCTATAAAACATTTTGCTTTTTTAAATTTAAAGTTTGTTCAGCACTGGGACTTGTAAACTCAACTTAGATTTCTACTTTGTAAAATATTCATTTGGTTTATAATTTTCAAGGAAAACAAACTTCTCCTGCATCTAAACCAACAGCCTGGTGACCTTGTTTAATCCACGGAACTAATCATTCTTCTTGAAAACCGAGAATATTACCCACAGGCAACATTTGTAATGATATTTCAATAAGTTACTAACAAAATAGAGTCCTGTGATTTTTTTTTTAAACTACCATTTTGTTTTGTTTTTGTTGGCCCTGTTCATAAGTAAACTCTTTGCTGTGTCTAGGTCCTGGGGATACAATTTGAACCCCGGCGCAAGAGGTTAGTTAATACAAAATGTCTTAAATTTCTGAAACTTTGTTTCTCAAATATTTGCTTTTAAATTTATTTAAATTTGAGGCCTTAATTATTAATGGCAAATATCACTTTACAACTGAGTATAGGGGATTTAAATTGAGCCGTGGTCTGAGTTGGCTCTGTTTCATTTATTTATTTTAAATATCTTGCAAGCTTTGTGTCCGGAAGTAAACCGTTCTCAGTTCCCAAAGCAAAAATGGATACTTTTAAGAGTAGAGTCTCTCACTACTCAGCTGGGGAATTTTGATTGTCAGAATTTGTTTCCTTGGTTTTGAAAACCACGTTCACGTGCTCAGATGGTTCTATTTATAACAGTCAGTATAAAACTGAATGATTGGAAAAGATGATAGAAAGAAACCTTCGAGAAATATTTTTCTGGCTTTTATCTCCTCCCAGAGTGTGCAAAGCAGACAATCTTGACTATCAAGCTTTGATTCTACAGATGTTATTTAAATTGCCTCTATAATTAACTCCATAATATCTTTGAAGAGTTGTTCGGAATGCTTCCTTCCTGAAAAAAAAAAATCTAAAGAGGTCAGAGAGCACCATTTTATTGCTGTTGACTCCATGTTTTAGTAATGACGGTCACTTTATGATCTATATAAAATTCCAGTGCATCAATCAATATTTATTGAATGGTCATTCAACAGCACAGCCAAAGGGTTTGCTCCCTGCCTATATCACCCCAGACCCAGTGCAGAAACACCTACATTGCCTCCCCAGTAGATGCTGCGTGGAAAAGGAGATACTGTACCTCAGAGAGGCCGGGACAGGAATCGGGTAGACATGGACTGTCTCCTTATCCTGAAGGTGCCTGGTTGAATGAAATCATTACCTGGATCCGTGTTGACAGCACCGTCTCTATCTGATTTCTGGTGAGGAGCTGTTCATAGTTTGCCCTGATCTCATTGAGGAGCTGGGACAGCTCCATTCTTTTCCCATCCTCCACCTTGGCTAACTGGACCTCAGCGACGGGATGAGTCGCTGCGGCAGAGCTTGCCCTGCCTGCGTCGCCAGAGCAGACAGCCCCGCGGAGCCTTAAAGATGCAGAGAACCATTTCCCCCACCAGAAGCTGGGGAAACTCCAGGGTTGTTAATTAATTATGCAAATGTGAGAAACCGTTCCCGCCCATTGTTGGTACCGCAGAAATCTCCGAGTCTCCCAGGAAGAGAGGAAAGTGACCCCCACGGGGTCACTGCAAGGGTTTCCTATGTAAGTGAATGCTTTGCCTGTGGGGGCGGGGCGTTCGGTTATTTGCAGTAGGGAATGTGCTCACAACATCAAGAAAATTGTAGTTAGCCAGTCACAGTGGGCAGGCATGTTATCTTAGCACTCAGGCAGAAGGATCTGAGTTAAAGGCCAGTTGGGACTTCATAGTGAGACCCTGAGTGGGGAACAAAACAAAACAACAACAACACCCAAACAAACCACTGCCCAAACCCAAAAAAAACCAAAATTTTATTTAGCTTTCCCAAGATATTGCATAGGAATTAAACTGGGGGGCTGGAGAGATGGCTCAGCAGTTAAGAGCACTGACTGCTCTTCCAGAGGTCCTGAGTTCAATTCCCAGGGATCACATGGTGGCTCACAACCATCTGTAATGAGATCTGATGTCCTCTTCTGGTGTGTCTGAAGTATACTCACTTACATAAAATAAATAATTCTTTTTTTAAAAAAATGAATTAAACTGGGCTCCAAATATGATAGTTTAAACTTTTCTTTATAGTATTTTTTTAAATAAATGTTTTGATTTTTTAAATAGAATGCTAAAGGAGAGGGAAGGAGGAAGAAAACAGAAGGTTAAAGGAATACAGGTGACAAGAAGCAGGGAGGGGACTGGTTCGGAGCAGAAAGGTAACGTTGTGGGAGGTGGTGAAGGGCCATGGTGGAGGGGGTTGCCTATAAGCAGGACAGTGTCATATGGAAGGAAACACAGAAATGGCTTCCCCAAGACTTTGTATGCTAATTTGAGAAAATTAATTAAAAAACCCCAAATGCTACAGAAAGTCATAGAATGTGTTTGTACATGTCAAGCACTCTGACAGCTACCCTCAGTGAGGTTGCTGATTATCTTGAGCCGTATTCCTCACACGGTGGTGGTCCGCCAGCCCAAGAGGAGAGTGTGAGGGACTGAGGTGAATTCCTGAAGTCACTCCTCCATTCCTGAAGTTACAGACGAGGCAAGGCTGGAGGCCAGCACCGGGGCACGGTGGGAGCCATGAGTTAATTCTACCAGTGTTGTGAAATTGAGTCCTTCGGTCTCTGCCATGGGCTCTCCACTGAGGGAGACTTTGGTTACTAGAAAACAGGCAGAGAACAACAGGTAACACTTAAGAGACTCGTCCTCAGCTCTTCTTCTTCTTCTTTTTTTTTTTTTTTTAAGATTTATTTATTTATTATATATGAATACACTGTAGCTGTCTTCAGACACACCAGAAGAGGGCATCAGATTTCATTACAGATGGTTGTGAGCCACCATGTGGTTGCTGGGATTTGAACTCAGGACCTCTGGAAGTACAGTCAGTGCTCTTAACCACTGAGCCATCTCTCCAGCCCGTCCTCAGCTCTTCAACAACAGAGTTCCACACGATCTTCTCAGTCCCTGACATGCTGGGACCTGTAAAGATGGAAGAACTGTGGTCAGAAGGCTCAAGTGTCCTACCCAAGGTGGCACATTGAAGTGCCCTGGGGACTTTGACTGCATGCAGAACGCTGTGTTTGCTTCTTCATTCTCTTCTCACTGGGGTTCCCAGTCAAGAACCTTGTCAGACGTGACTGAAATATTTTTGAGAATGGGCCTGTTGCTGTTTACAGAGTGAATGGATCAGATCTTGTTTCTAGAATCCAGAGGGCCTTTGATATGCTTTTTAAAAGGTGTATGTGTATGTGTGCGTGCGTGCGTGCGTGCATGCGTGCATGCGTGTGTGTGTGTGTGTGTGCGTGTATGGTTTGACATGGGCCCAGGTGTGGAGGTCAGAGAATAACTTTCTGGAATCATTTCTCTTTTTCTATAATGCAGCTCCAGGGATCGAACTCAGATTGTCAGGCTTGTTGGCCAGTGTCTTTTCCAGCTGACCCATCTCACAAGCCCACTTATGGCTCTTTTAAATTTCCGAGTTAACTTATGAATGTAAGTTTTGCATATACACATCGGTGTATGTGTCCGTGTGAGTGTATGGATGTGTCTGTATTTGGATACCTGAGGGGGTCAGAAGAGGACACTGCATTCTTTGGAGCTGTAGTTGTAGGTGTTAGTGAGCCACACAAAACGGGTACTGGAACTTGAACTCTGGTCCTCATGATTAAGCAACAAGTGCCTTTAACCACGAAACCACCTCTCCAGACACCAAATTAAACTCAACTTAGATTTGGGAGTGAAAAACTAAATGCTCCTTGCCATTTCAGGTTGGTCCTGCCCTGAACCCAGAGCGCTGAGCTCGAGGCAGTGGGCTTGTCAGTCCGCACTTTGAGTGGGTCTCCCAGCATGTTAATACACCTAAGTCAGTGAAATGCAGTGTGAACTACAAATCTAAGCTATGCGTGATGTTTTAAGTGCTCTAGTAATCGTATCAAAAGGTATAAAAAGAAACAGGTGAAATCAATTTTAATATTACATTGTATTTAATCCCATATATTGAAAATATAATAATATAAAATATTTACATTCTTTTCTTTTGAGAATGTCTTTAAAATACAAGGAGTATTATATATCCCATCTCAGTTTGGACAAGTCATATTTAAAGTATTCGGTAGAGGTCTGGGGGTTTGGAGGAGGGATGGCTCTGTGGTAACGTGCCTACTGCACAAGGGTGAGGACCTGTGTTTGGATGTCCAGCTCTTGCACAAGAAATGAGTATAGTGTCTTGGTCTTCACGTGGGTCTCCTAACAAGTGGAGGGGGGCACTCAATTTCTGTTCCCTGGCATTGGATCCCCTTCCCTGCTATTTGGACTGCCTGGTTGGGCCTCAGTGGGAGAGGATGTGTCTAGATCTTCTGGGACTGGATACCCCAGGGTGAGGTGGTACCTTTTTTGGAGGAGAAGGGAAAGGGGGAGCAACAGGTCCATTCTTAAAGATATTTCAGTCGTGTCTGACAAGGTTGTCATCTTCACTGGGAATCCCAGTGAGAAGCAGGGGGAGAAATTTATAAGGATGGAAAAGAAAGAGAGGAGGGAGGGGGCTGTGATCAGGATGTAAAATGAATGAAAAAATGGAGGTAGTGACATATGTTTCTAACTCCAGCGTTGAAGGGGCAAACCAGGCAGATCTCTGCAACTCATGGTCCAGCTTCCCTTCCCAGACTCATGAGCTCCAGGTTCAGTGACAGACCCTGCCTCAAAAAGAAGGTGTCCAGTGACTGAAGAAGACACCCAACACCTACCTCTAGCTTATACACACACGTACACACATTTATGAATCCACACAAAAGGGCACATGCACACAGTACACACATACATCAGTAAATAGTGTTCAGTAGGTTGGGGATGTATTCAGTGGTAGACAGCTTACCTAGTATGTGCAAGGTCCTAGGTTCTACCCCCAGCACCTCGGGGGACAGGGTGTGTGTGTGTGTGACCAGGAGCAACTGGATACAGTGTAAATCTGAAATCTGAGCCCCTTACTGGGGACATTCCTTGTACACACCAGGAAATGCTACTCACATACATACGCATGCATAAAAGCACTAGCACAGGATTGGTTCTGAGGGGTTAGTACTCACACGAGGGCAAGCATGTGACTGAAGAGGTTAACCACTTCAAGATTTCAGATCCTGCCCCTCCCGCTTGTTTTAAAGAAAAGAAATATAGCTACTTTTGAAAAATCATGCTCTTTATTAAGGAACCAGTCACAATAGCTCATTAAACACCATTTGTGGGGTTCATGCGATTCTTGGTGATTAGCTGTAGGCTCCAGAGTGCTATCAGAATAAGTGAGTATGGATGCCAATCTTACAGAGATGATCATAAATTCACTCTTAAAGGGGCCTGGCTCTTGTGTTCATTGCAGTATTCGAGATAGGCAAGCCGTGGGAATGAGCTGTGGGTGGGAGATGGAGTCGGGCAAAGGGAGCTGAAGGTCAAAGGGCACAACGTGTTAGGAAGGGAGGGTGGCTAAACCTAGAGATCTAGTTTTTAATTAATTAATTAATTTTTAATGAGATAAAGTCTTTCTATATAGTCCCAGCTATCCCAGAACTCTCTTTGTAGCCCAGGCTGGCCTTGAACTCACAGAGATCAGCCTGGTTCTGCCTCCAGACGGCTGTGCTTGAGGGTGTGCAGCACTCCTCCTGCCAAGCTCAGAGATCTAATACACAGTTAATAAAATGATACAGTACGTGGGATTTTATTTACTGAGTAGAATTTAGTTACCCTTGACATTAAAGAAGTTAACTGTGTGAGATGGTAGATAAATTCACTCTCTTCATCACGGAAACCCTTTCCCACCTCGGTGTACACTGCAGCATTATGCTGCAGACTTCAAATGCATACCATAAAATTCTTGTTAAAAAAACCCAAACACCTGAAGAAAAAGGCATGCTTCCTTCATTCTCAATTGGTACCATTAAGCCTCAGTTTTCCCCATTAGAATTGTTAATCTGGGGCTGGAGGGATGGCTCAGCAGTTAAGAACACTGACTGCTCTTCCAGAGGTCTTGAGTTCAATTCCCAGCAACCACATGGTGGCTCACAACCATCTGTAATGGAATCTGGTGTCTTCTTCTGGTGTTCAGGCCTACATGTAGGCAGAACACTGCATACATAGTAAAAGGTAAATCTTTAAAAAAAAAATGTAGTCTGTTCTTTGACAACTTAATATGCATACATAAATGCATTCTAATTGCTCTCTTCCCTACTTTTTTATTTATATATTTATTTTGTGCATATGAATGCTCTGTCTTCCCACAAAACAGAAAAGGAAATCAAATCCCATT